CAGTGCTAATGCAAAAAATAACCAGAATTCAATTGAATTCTCCATCTAAGAATACGCTCGCCACCGCATCTCTGACCCCCCTGGGAGTTTCACAGGTTGCAATCCCATGCGGGGATAGATATGTGCGAGGGGATTGCAGCTCTCCTCCCACTGAGGGTGGTTCACACGACCGCTGGTCGATTACGACATCCCCCACCATCAAGTATATGCTTCTAAAGCAAATAACTGGCTAACTAATCCCGACATAGAATGGTAATCGTACGATGTTGCACCTTGCAATCTGTCCCCAACCACAGATAAATCCTAAAAACTACCCACATTGGTAGGCATAGTTGCGTTTTAAATTGAAAGAAATCTTCATTAATGGTCAGAAGGTGTTGTCTGATTGTTTCGTTAGTTCGCAGGTAATTTACTGATCTGATACACAAACTTTGCACTGTCAAATGATGATTAGTGTTTAATTTCTTTTTGGGAAAAAGGAGAGATAACCCATTATCATCTGCTTATAAAAGCAATCAATATTCGAATTTTCGCCATCTCCAGAGAGGAAAAGAATAGTTAGAAAAAGAGGGATTTTAAAGTAAGGCAAAAGGCAGGAATATTTCAACAAATTCTGTTAACTTGTATGCGTTGCAATATCACTTTGCAGTTGTTAGCATAAACATTTCATGTGTCTTTCGACTAGACCTACCACACTTTAAAAGATGCCGCCTATAGGGGACTTGCACGGGTCACGTGACTTTGTTACTGGACGGCAATAAAACAAAAAACGTCCATTTGGCTCCTGTCAGTTGCAAGTCGGATTATACGTTTCCGTTTTGTTTGGCTGTTGAAAATGGTCATTTCGTATTGTTCCGTTGGCTGTACGTATAGTATAGAGTATAGACAACAAAATGGATCTTAAGTTATATTCCACTGATTTCAAAAGATCCGGAACGTCGCGCAATGTGGATATCTGACAGCACTTCGTTGATGGTGAGTGATAATGTGGTGATAGTGTGCCGTTATCAATTTCTTTAAATATTCACAAGCTCCCTCATTTCAATGGAAAGCAGATGACAAACTACTGTTATTAGTAGGCCTACTTGCAGTTGCAGACTTGACTTGTGTAAGACAGTAAGGAACTAATAATCAATTGCTATAAGGTATTGTTTCCCTAATAACAGGTAATCTATTACTAAGTGTGAAAGATTGAATAGATACCTAAAGTTTAACACCATGGGGCCTGGAAAAAATAACCAGAATTCAATTGAATTCGCCATCTAGGAATTCGCTCGCCACCGCATCTCTGATCACCCTGGTAGTGTCACAGGTTCCAATTCCATGCGGGGATAGTTATGTGCGAAAGGATTGCAGCTCTACTCCCACCGAGGGTTGTTAACATAACCGCTGATCGGTTACGACCATTCCCCCCCATCCAAGTCCAGGCTTCTGAAAACAAATAACTGGCTCCCCCCAGATAAATCCTATCCTAATGGTGCTTGTAAAACTGATACAAAATGTCTTTTTATTGTCATTGGTAAACAAGATATGCTACCCAGAATCAAATTCATTTACGACTAGTGGCTGTGGTGGGATATGGACATAAATTTCACACTCCCTGATCGTTAGATTTTATGAAAACTCTATCTGTATCCATTATCTTACAGGTATGGGTGCGACCCTGGAATAGATGGATGGCAAAGTATAAGTTGCAACAGGACCACAGTGGCACAGACCTCAGCTTGCGTCAAAGATAAATAAAGCACAACCGGTGTATAGCAAAACGATATGATTTGCCGACGTTTCGAATTTCTATTCAGAAAAACTTCATCAGGGCATGATATAAAAAGTACACTATCATACATATATAGAGTAGAAAAATAAAAAGATAGTAAAAATTAAACGGCGTGAAAAACTGAAAAAAGGGACAATATGATAATAGATCCGGGTGAATAAGCGCAAGTTCAAACAATTACGCGACTATCTAAACAATGATTTATATACATGCGGGAACAATGTAGTTTCTTTATCGTTCATTGAATTTTTCGCTTTGTTGATTTGATAAGATTCGAGAAATAGTCTTTTTCTGTAGTGATTTTCATGTTCCAATATCCTGCTGTTATCCCAATCAATGCTGTGATCAGTAGAAAGGGCATGTTTCGAAATCTCAGCTTGCGTGACTTGATAATACATCCTCAGTATCCATTTATTGATGCTTATCGTAATGACAAAGTAACTTGTGATTACTGTGGATTGGTGGAGATAAAGTGTCCATTGTGCTTTAACGAAAGCAACTTCAAGACGACCCTATCAAAAAAAAAAAATTGTTTCGGTGGGTCTGGTAGTGAAGGTTTCAGTCTAAAGTTGGACACCGATACTACAACCGATACAGTTGCCAATGCAACTTAGCGAGGCGTCATATTGCGACTTTGTGATCTGAAAGGAAATTCTGATGGGTAGCCGGCTAGCCGCAACCTTTTGTTTAAAGAATATTATGAGATATGACTTGAGAGTCTAAACTTTTAATTGAGAGGGGTGTAACCCAAGGTAATTTGCAAATGGTATTCACGGTACCAAATGTATCACACACTTTACAGTAATTATAAATTATATTTGAAAAATAAAGCACATCAAAAATGTCTTTTTAAAAAACAATTGGTTTTATCTGCAGATACTAACTAGGTTTATATTGAGATTGACCATTTCAATGCTAAATTTTCTTTAGTCAAAAGGCACACTTGATTCGCAAAGATTTGTGAATGCGCACAGTACACCAATTTGTCTTATGTTTTGATTCCATAGGCAGGAGGTTGTGGATCGGTGCTGCTCAGGATGGAATATTTTTGCCTATAAATGCATATTACGTGTTTCACATGAATTCATCGTGCTCAGATTCGACTGTTTCCAAGGTCTGAAGGCTCCAGCAGCCTAATTTTATCGGCACATAGGAGAATTTTCAGTGTGGCATGCATGGGTCAGTTGGAGTCACTGACCTCAAGATATCTATAAGCAAGGATAAGATAACCTGGAAGTAACATTCCATAATTTAGAGTAAAAAATATGTCTGCCTCCACAGCCCTTTCAAATGGAAGATATGATGCCTCGGGGGTAATTTCTATCAAATATTTTACAGTATTATGGTTCTAAAGCGACGTTCCGGAACTTTTGAAAACAGTGGAATATACCGAAGATCCATTTCGTTGTCTATACTATACGTACAGCTAACGGAACAATACAAAATACCCATTTTCAACAGCCAAACAAAACGGAAACGTATAATCCGACTTGCAACTGACAGGAGCCAAATGGACGTTTTTGTTTTTTTTCCCTCCAACAAAGTCAGGTGACCCGTGCAAGTCCTCTATATATTTACGGTTCTATCAATTCAATTAGTATGCTTTGTTTTCCAGTGCACACTGCTATTACCAACACAGTCCAGCTGTTATCGATCAACTAATGGAGATTCGTGACAACACATTTTTGGCATTAATGAATTACATATGATGCAAACTTGTAATAAAATGTTAAAAATAAATAAAAACTGATTTGAGTAACTGCGTGAGGTATTGTTGTTTCGGGCTGTGGGTAGAAGTTTGCATGGATTCCAACATATTTTTAAGGCTGAAACGATCCTTCGACTTAGAGGTCTTCTTTTAGTTCCATGAATAGACATCAGAAAAGGTTACTTGCGAAAATTTTATCCATAGTTTTCTCCTTGTTTCCTGCTCCGAGACATTCCATCATTGTGAAATCTGCTGATACCACCAACTACACATTCCATACGTTAAGGTAGTGTTACCTTTACGGTATACCGGTATAGTCAGATAGTCCATATATACCGAAAATATGACAAAAACACTAGTTATAGAATCAGATAAGCAGAGTAAACACACATCAATTATAAAATCTGGATCATTTGAGACAAAAAATGGCCTGGTATGCGCTATTTCACTAGAAAATATATTGCAGCAAAATGTCCGGCACAGAACTCGAGTACGTCTTGACCTCGATTAGTTGAAGTTCCTGTAATTTCTCATAATGCAATAATATTATTTAAAGATATTGGTATTGTTTTAAATAACAAACCTTCCTCCAAATGCACCGCTCAATAAAACTAGCACACGGTTCAAAATAAGTACACAGAATGCTACAATTGCCTCACTCATTGCTATAATTGAGTTTTCACCACTACGTCTTCAACGGAACATACTAATTTGCGTTCAATTTCGGCAGGATCGACTTTTAAAAATTCGAGTGTCGCAAACGAAGTCCATTTTATGCAAACGGTAAACGCCAAAAATCTTAATAAATTATATAGAATCAAATTTTCTACAAAAATGTTTGCGTGATAACCCACCTTTAAAGATGAAAAGTTTGAAACTTATATGAACTTCAAGGACATTTACAATAATACCTGGCAGTATTTTAACATGAATCCCTATGTAAATGCTTTTTAATAATGTAGACTTACAGTGTATAAGGTATAGTTCAAGCCTGCCATGCATGACCTAGCTCATATCTATGGATTATACTTGGATTTATTCATATGCCAAGCATGATCGACTGTGAATATTGGAGGCATGAAATGAAACTGGGTTGTAACCAAGCATGTATGACGTCACAAGGTGAATTCACCCCTATAGAATTTTTTTCCGAATTTCGAGCCAAAATCAAGCTTTTAACCTAGAAGAAAAAACGGATTCGAACGCGTGCATTCTTCTTTGACAATAGGACAGGTAAATTCTTGTATATTGCCACTCTCCGTTATAATCTGAATCATTAGTTACCAATCCTATGCTGACCACTCAGCCCATCTTACTCAATATATTATGCGTGGTCACTTCCTATATCTTTACCCCAAACAAGACACTGGACAAGTATCAGTACATGGGGATCACTGGCTCTAATTCTTCACACATTTCACCTAATCTCTAATAATCTGGGGGATATAGGAGATAGTGAGGTTCTTCAATCAAGATTGTTTCTGACAAATTCCGACAAACTAAGAAAACACTAGATCAATAGGTTTGATTATATTACATCTATCAATGCAAAGTATTAAAACACTCAATGAATTAAAGTAAAATACCAGTAACTGACCTGAATAATTATACAATAACAGTAAGTGAATTGCATTGCTATACAATAGTAGTTGCTCCTATTTGAACTAAAGTAAAATGACTGGTAAAAATCATAAAATCAGTCAAGGAATTAAAGTAAAATAACAGAACTACTTGGTTACCTTGAAATAACATTAAATTTAAGGAAATTTATTACAATACAATCAATATCAATGAACATTGCCGGACATGGGTTGTCGGTCATTTGTCAGGTAGATTAGGATGAATGACAGGCAGGCTTGTACTTGGGCATCGATATTGAATGGAGCGATTAATACAATCAGTATCATTTGTAAGAAGGTTTGAAACCAAGACTTTGCCTGTCAAATGCCAAATTTCATGCTTTGAATGGGTCAAGTGAAATTTAATGAAAATCAACTATAAAATGGCTGTAATTTGATGCGTTTTTCCAAAAGTACATAAATCAAAACATTTTCAAGAGAATTTACTAAAAGGGAGACGAACAAAACTTGTCGTTTAACTGAATAATTCTGAGAACTTGACTCGAAATTTTGCAAAGTTGGGGTCAATGGGCTATCATCCGGGCTTAAAATGAATTCGATATTCCTATAAATATGTAAAAATCTATGTTATATTAAAAGCAAAAATACATAATCGAAATACAATATTCCTGGAAAACTAGAATAAATAGAGAGTGTCATTTACGGATATAGGTAAACAGAGAAACGCAATTATATTGAAAATAATCACGTGATATAAAATTAATTGGGCGATTCGCTACATTACAAAAAATATATACAGTGTTTAAATCAACAGTTATTCATACATCCTACACATTGTTAAGATACAATCACCATGACTAGAAATGAAATATTTTTATGAATGAGCGGAGACTTGTGGTTTTTATTTATTAATCTGTATCTGCTGCATCTAACTTGATCTGAACTTCTAATCAACTAAGTTTGTTGGAAATTAAATTAGCGATTTGAATGAAAAGTTTTTTGGGGAGTTTTATCAGAAATATGTTTGGGGATCTGAAGATGAATTGGGATTTGAATTCACCTGTATAATTTGAATTTTGGGATTTAAAATTTTATTTATATGTTCAAGAATTTGGTAATTGGTATTTCCATGTTCGAAACAGAGTTTGTTGATAAAATTAGATTAAATTAATATGTTTTAGAATATTCGAATTTATTTGTTGAATAGAATTTTAGGATATCGAACTGTTTTAGGCGTCCACAACTACAAGGTTGATTCGAGAAACGAAATCACTTTTTCTTTCTGTTTCGAAGGATTTTCAAGTTGTTCTTTGTACTTTCTATTATTTCCCGTTTCATCTTATCACTAGGCCAATCCTCAACTTTCTTATACGCATCCAGAGATTGTAAATAAAACGATTCAGCTTTGGAATAATCACCGAGACCACTCTGCGCAGAACCCATGTTGTATAATAGAGTCCCAAACACCACATATTTTGCAGCGTTCAAACCAAACGTTTGATTCATCAGATCTAAACCTTCATTATGAAACCCGATAGCTTCCTCATATTTCCCAACTTCATCGTAACTAGCACCAACATTTGTCAAGCATCTCGCTTCCATATCCACCCCCGTATTTTTGTCAGCTCCTGATACTGATCTCAATTCTTTCAACATGTCAGTGATTATTTTTAAACCAACATCTGTTGCAATCGCTTTCATTCTATCGCCTTCATTGACCAATGCTTTGATCACTTTCCAACATTTCAATGAGCAATGCCTAATCTCGAAAACCAAATTATTCGGGTTCGAATCAAACTTATACAACTTAGCACAACAAGTGAGTAAAATCAATGCACGAATATGAGACGAATCAGAAATGTAATTATCAACCGTTTTAATGACGTCATCGACACTAGGTCTTGCTAATGACGTCATTTCCGATTGTAACTTTTCAATGCACCTCAATGCTTCATTCGGTCTCCCAAGTTGACAGTAGCATTCTGACATCATGAATTGTTGTTCTTGAGAAGGTGGTATATCTTGCAAAGTAATCAGCGCGTCCACGAATTTGGATTTGTTAATCAATCGTCGTATATTCTCTGGAAGATAAAAAATCATTTGAACTAAACCTTGACTAATTGAATCTAACTCCATAGTGTTCTTCTTTTTTTATAAATTTTTCGAACTGAATTTTTTTATATTTACATAAAAAACACTTAAGAGACGATGAATATGTTGGATTATGGGATAGTTATTAATAATATGCAAATCTATTTCGTACACTATGCTCTTAAATCATTATCTCGCACAAAGTTTTTTTTAGCAAAACTAGTAATGTGTACCGTTATTGATTGGTGGTCGATTGTCGGTAATCTTATTTTTATCTTCGCATTTCTAAGTGGCTGCTTGTTTGAGGCCTTGTTCAGAGCGTATTGCCCTACTAGCAGAAGTGTGTTGTGTCTATAGTTAATCCTGCTTACCAAAAATAACGAAGTGCGTTCCTTCGGTCAGATTCATTTTCCCAAGGTTATCAGTGACGCCATGATGGGAAGGATGAGTCGGTGTCTGAACGTTCGATCCTGCGAAAACATAAATATTTAGGGGAATGATTCCGAGAAGTGAAAAGTTGGATTCGTTATTTCAAGAAATCAGCGCGGTTAAAAAATTGTACAGTTATAGGTTTGCCACGTCATATTGAATTGTGCTTTACTCAAAAGCGATTTGTGCTATAATCAAATTTGGAGGTAGCGTAAATTTATCAAATTGCAAATTATGTCTGGCTATTAATGTCAACTCAATCCGGAAAAGTTTCATATGTTCGCGGACCGTCGTAGATATGTTTAATACAAATCGCATATAAGCTACGTGCGCAAAAGGATTTTCCTTTTTGACTTAGTTCCTTAGGAACAAGTTGAAGATTTATTCAAGAAGCTACTATTGAGCATATGAGAAAGAATATTTAGGTTGAAAATACCTTCTGTTGGGACGACAATCTGACCAATTTCTGCGGCCTGGATTTTAGTCTTCTGCCTGGAGATAAAACAAGCCAATGTGATGGTCGGCTCATTTACATGTGATAGTAAAAGTAATTGGTTGTGAATTTCAAACAAAAACCAGGGCTGTTGAGCCTGAGTCTTCATTTTCTGTTGTTGGAGCCGAATCGCATAGATTGGAGTAATGCGTAGACTACTCAACTATATCTGGGATAGTAATGAAGTGGTTTGAGCCTAGGGTTGCCAACTATGAAAAGTTTCAATAAAGGACATAGATTACCGTCATCATTCATTTTGTAAATTGCAGGAAAGTACAATATAAACAATGAAATAAGTATTACATACAAGCTAAAAATATATATTGAAACAATCTTCGTGTGTTATTCATTTAATGTGTTGGCCCAAACAATGTTATTAAAATGTTATTTATTTGGCCATTTGAGCCGGACCAAGGCGAAATTAAAAAGAATAATTAGAAGCTTGCAAATGCATAAACAGAGGCGATTTTTTAAGAACGGAACAATATCAAACAAAGTACTATACCTATCGGACAAAACAGCGTTGGAAAGCATACAGGACAATCAGCATCTTTTCTAAATGCTAAAAAGGACAAGGACCGAAAAGCTTAATTAAAGGATTGTTCTTTGAAATAAAAGACGGTTGGCAACCCTATTTGAGCCACAAAGTCTGAATCCGGGTGGAACTTCATCTCTGATTTTTTGATTGAAAAACAGCAATATGAATAACTATAAATAAAACCGAAAACACTAAGTTTTGTCGTATGAGGCCGGTGACAGATTAAAAACGCTTCTTTAGGCATTGTTAATCGCAAAATTTCGAAATGATCGAAACACACTAAACTGTTTGAATATTCACGTATTTCATATAACAGTCCCGCAACAAAAATGTCACCTACTATAAAATATATCTATTGCCTTACCCGACATTGTCTCCAGCAAATCTCGTTCCTTCCTGATAATTCACGGTGATAGCTGGAAGTTGAACATTAATAACTGGTGGTTGAGATCCTCCTTCAGCCATTTTATGAATTGTGATTTTTAGTGCAATTTCAATCTTATATAATATAAATTGGATCGAACCTTGAGATTCTGAAAGGAATATGAATTTTGAAGAGGTTTACTCAGTTGTGATAAAGCTGATTCGAACTTGATATGAAAACTCCGACTTAGCGACGGCAAGAGAAAGTTTTATACGAGTCACAGTGAATGCAAAAATATGATGAATGAACGTAGGATCTTTTGTACAAAGCCCCCGTCACTAATGCAGGAATTTGAGAAAAACGTCCCCGCCACGTTTTTGAAAAGAGAATCCTAGCCCTAACTGGATGATAAATAATTTCCCTATTTTGGGTTCGAGAGTTGACGGGGCTTTGTAAAAAAGTTATTTAACGTTGATCGCCAATGAAAACAGAACAGTACAGTATACTGCGTTACTTCTCGTCGCATCTAGAGGCCTTTTCGCGCCATATAAATAAACACTCAACGGATCTCCTCTCTTCAGGAATACATTTCACGTTAAATACAGTCAAATCTCAACCCTATTCTTTTCTTGTACCCAAACAATTCTTCAAAATATTCTAACATTGCTTTTATTTTCAAGAGAACCTCCTGGTATCTGACATTCACATGCTAACGATGTCAGGCGCCAAATAAAAACTAAGACTATAGTACTTGACAGGGAAATAAATGCTTAAGACGCGAAATAAGCACATGCTTAGGGCATCAGGGAAAAGGTTCACCCACCACAGAAATTTCCATACACGGCCTGCATATACAATCCCAAGAAATGCATTCATAATATACTGACTGGCCACAGCCTACTTTACATTGAATAGCCTGTGTAGTGCCTGCGTTAGCATGTTTTACATGTCGCAGAGCGCTTAACACAAAATTTACGGGTTTTTTCGTTTTATTTTAAGTGTGTATGATAAGCTTTCCAAACCAAATTCATTTAGAATATCTGACAGAGGCAGCCTTTGGTTTCTGAACTACTATTTATATCAAACATTCTTATACTTCTGTCACTGCTTCGTAGTTTCACAACCGTCATTTTCTTTTCATATTGTTGCTTACAATTCAATTGCATCTAGAAGCTGCATCAAAATTTTCCCGCTTCATTCAAAGTAGCAGCAATTATTCGAGCCTTGTTTGTCACAAACCAGCTGCGCCAGTTATGCGACGTCCCTTGGGACTCTGTACATGCGCCTGTATTCCACAACGTCGTTTGCGCAGATTCGTTTTATTCTTGCTAGCTGGGTAAATATAACAGAGTAAACATAACCATGACTGACTCATTTACGTGGAGATTCGGACCATATATTCATTCCAATTCTTAACCTGCTGTCCATATGACAAGCTAATAGCCCTCCGCGGAGGAAGCCATCCATATAAACATAGCCATGGTCTTAACTCCTAATTTAAGCGATTATTTGATTTTGGAAATTAGTAATTCCATGATACATTTCCATATAGAAATTTGTCAATGAATATGAAACATAAATCTTTTTGATCAAGTTACAATCGATCAACGATTATTAAAATCAATCTCAGATGTTTTGTATAAACGAAGCAATGAAAAGTTATTTTCGAATGTTGATCACGTTTTTTACGCTATCTGTCTGAAAAATCTGGAACAAAATTGAACTATCAAAGCCATCATTTTCATCAACAACTTTGTTCCTGCGTCATAGACCTGAGAGTTGGAGTTTTCTCTCGCCGACCGAACCAAAGAGCTTACTGCTAACGCAACGCAATCCTTACTAATAACAAAAAGTAAACAAATAGAATTAGTAAACCAGCCCTAAAAACTTGATGAAAGTTACAACAAAACGAACAGCACCAAAAATTTCGATACAATAAAATGGAATTCAAATAAAACAAGAGAGCAATGCTCAATGCTCAAATATATGGACACGCAGAACAATTCTCCAAAAAATCATATTCGGTGACTTACCAGTACCTGTATAAACAACGCACCACATCACAGGAATCAAACAGACAAAAACACGGTGGTCGCAAATTGGTTGACAAAGATATTATCGACGTATTGGAAATGCGCACCCCCCTATTCTCCCTCCTTTAAATGTAAAAACGCGAAACCTTTAAAGATGGTTAAAAGAAACGCAACTCTACCCACCTGCCAAAGTTCATCTTTTTATCTCTTATATTTGTATGGATTATCAAGCTTTTGACAGCTACGAGTTAGTTCAGTGTCACCGCGCTACCAGAACTTCTCTATCTTTGAAAACATTGGGCTCCTAATTGCATTTCTGACCGTCATATATTTTAAGAACACGGTTATTTCGAACAAAACTCGTCAAATTATAAACAAAGCACCATATCACAGTGAATAAACTGACGAAAATACGGTGGTCGCAAATTAGTTGACAAATACTGACATAACACAGTATCAGCATCAGCAAGTTATAACTGTATTTAAATATTTATTCAGTTCAAAATTTTGTTAGGCAAGGATACCGGTATGCCAATTTCAGTTTTTGTCCGAAGTAGGCAAATCTGGTGAATGAAATTCATTTCACTACCGCTACTAGGCATTCTGACATTTGATATATTCCAGTATTCGGATACCGGTACAAATTTTGGTTTTCGTCCGAAGTAGCCAAATCTGGTAAAGGAAATTCATTTCACTACCGGTACCAGTCATTCTGACATTTAATATATTCCAGTGTTCGGCACTTACCGGTACCGGGTAACAGCGTATAGTACCGGTGTTAGAACTGAGACAACGCAGTTACCGGTACGGTATTAGGAATAAAATATTTTACATGTTTCCTGTTTATAATACAATAACTGAATAACCGTATTGGTCTAGTTACGGTCTACATACCGGTACATACTTGGTCTACATACCGGTACTGGTCTACAAGGCATGCCAAAGTCTACAAATACTGACACCAAGCAAGCAGTCCATGATTTCGAAAAACAAATACCGGTAGTGAAGAGCGAAGCAGTATTTACCTTTGACGCCACCGGTACCCACAAAAAATTCCGAGTTTCGCGTAGAAATAATTTACCGGGTCAAACCGGACAGCTAGTGTTCCCATGGATAAAATAATACAGCAAAATTTTAGACGAAATATTAGATTTCATGCAAAATTTAGAAATAAATAAAAGTAATAGCCTTCTGGCAAAAAAAAATCAATCTTTACTCACTGAAAATTTCAAAGCAATTGGTCCCGTGTTCAAAGAGAAAAGCGATTTTTTAATGATAATGACGAAAGAAAATAACGATAACAACAAAATTTTGAAACGATCGTTATGGCCACTAAACGTGTCCAATTACGCGCCTGATATCTGCAGTCATCGCTTTTTGATTAATTCGTAATAATAGCTACTAAAAAATCTTAGTGACGCCACAATTGAATTTGGCGTGTAGTTCAGGCACATAGGCATTGCAGGATTTCGCACGTGTTTGATGACGTTACCTCGTTTATTAGTGAAAGTATATATTAGTACTGACTCAATTTCGGTTAAAATAAGATGTTTGGGATGCATTAACGAAGTTTTACTTTCGTTACAGGATTCGATGAACGGTTCTGGACAGTTTAGGATAGACTGATTCAAAATCAGATGTCGGGACTAAGGTTAGCTACTCGGATAGTTCTTTACTTATTTACCGGTATTTATAAATATCATGATCTCTTATACCTCTGCAATGTCGTTGGTGAAATAGCTCAGTACATCGCGATCTCGTTATACTGCTTGGAAACATGTTAGGAGAGACTAATTCAAAATCAGGCGCATGGGCTACCGGTACCGGAATTTCGATTTCTGTCCTGCGGAACACTCATAAGCAGCTCGGGGAACAGTAGTGTTCCACGGCACACAGTTTGAGAAAAGCTATCACTCACAGATAGTATGAATCGTCAGATTAGGGCTAATGAAGCTGCTTGGGTAGTTCAAGATAGAATGGCGCTTATGATAAAATGAACTATAATGTACAATACCATTAGTTTAAACGCTAAATTAAGATGACGCCTAAGACTCGTTTTTGAATGTTTTTGTCTTGTTTCGTAATTTGGGTATGAATTGAATGATTTAGCTTGCGATTGAGTTTACCTGTAGTCCTGGGAAGACGGCAGGATAGACTAAGCCAAAATTAGTTGTCAAGACTAACAGCGATGCAACACTTGTCCGTGCCTGGCCCTATCCATTGTATTTATTGTAAGACAAGTGTTGACTAGATTATATTATAATCTAACAAGTATAAAATTCACCAGAACTCGTTTATTGAGCCAATAATTTAATTATAATTATACAAATGGCAACGGAACGCAGAAAAGTTGATGCTAAATGCAAATGGTTCGAATGAGGAAATAAATCTATATTCTATTCGAGAGATATATCACTGCTTCATTTTTATTATAAAAAGTATCATCTTTCAAGAAATATGTGCGGCCCGCAAATGTCTTGTAACCTTTAATTTTGGCCGACCTCAAAAGATTGCCCCTGATCTAGAGTATAGCTTGATATGCGTGTTCTTGCACGCAAATATGGAGCCGCAATTACTCCGCAATGTGGCAACTAAATAAAATTTCAATTTATTTTTCAGCTAAAACATCAAAATATGGTTAAAGTTTGGTTGTGGCAGCAGCCGATGGAATTACTCAACGGACCGGATTAGGCACGTGGTCCGTAGTTTGCCCATGTCAGGTCTAAGCTATTGTCGGAATAGCGAGGGTGAGGAATGCGCATTAACAACGTTGAACGTAATGAATAGTTTTCGAGAGCGGAGGTCACGTGGGTAGAAATCATTCATGCGTTATATTATTCTAAAACAGCTGAGTGGGTTGTTGTTGTCAGTGTGGAATCACGGTTGAGATAGGACGAGGTAGGGTTTTGGCTATTGTAGATCTCTGAGCTTAATTGGCTTAGATATGAGGCCAATGAGTTGCTATACTAATAACAGACAGAAATCAATAAGTCTGACTTACCCCAACCTGAATAAAGATAACGTAATCAAGGAAAACAGATCTAATAAGTATAGGTGGGGCAATAACAGGATGGTACCAGGAATATCAAAATCAAGCGGGTTGTTGTTGTTGTTAGTGTGGAATG